ATTGTTGTAAAGATAACAGGATGAATCCTTTCCCATGAGAATGAAAATCCTGACAGTAGTCCTCAGCTTACATCCATTTGTTCAGCAACCATTCAAAGATATGGTAGTGCTGAAAAATGGATTTACAACCGGTCCTCAAAGTTCTGGCCATCACAGCATCCCCACAGTCATGTGATGATGATCTGGGCACTGAGTGGCCGGCACGTGATTACAACATCACAGTGAGCCGCATCACATGATTGTCATTTGCGACCTTCCCTGCCAGTTTTCCACAAGCAAAGTCAATGGAGAAGCCGGCAGGGAAAGTCACAAGTTGCCCAGTAAGTCGCTCTTGCTGCTTTTTCTCCTGAGGAGCCTGTTACAAAGTCACTCTGTAGCATCCCTTGCCTGTCCGCACCCCGTAGTGTGCGCCCACCTGCAGCACCTCCCACCCGTGACCTGCACTGGCCCTCCCGTGGCATCTGCCAACCTGCCTACAGCCTCCACCAGCCCTCCTGTGGCCTCCACCGGCCCTCTTGAGGCTTCCATCAACCTGCCCAAGGCCTCTACCAACCCACCCACACTCCCTAGCGCTGGCCTACAGCAGCACCCCCACACAGCACCCACACACACAACCCCACGCTCCTTGCCTGGGACTCCAGTCTTTTCCCACTTAACGACCCATGTGTCCTGGGATTACAACTGGATTGCCATCGCTAAGCAATGTGGTCACGTGACATCACGCTTTTAAGACCACATCACTTAGGGATGACAATCCCATCTCAATTGCCATTGTAACCCAAGGACTACCTGTACTGCTTGAACAACTTTTATGGAGTGAGGAAGAGTGAGGCCCCTTGCTTCATTTCCATCCGGTTTGTCATTCTTGCCATGTTTTATCCTCTTTCCTTCCTTTTATTGCAATTTCTTTGTTTTGATTATGGCAAGCCACCCAGAGTCATTGGGAATCAGGCAGTATAGAAGTTTAATAAAAAATAATAAATACAAATAACGAAATAAAAATCACGGACACCTGCAGAAGTTACTTGTTTTTGTCAAAATGAAAAAAAGCAGCAACGGGTCGCCATGCAGTAAGATTTTAGGCAGGCGTGCAACGTCACGACACGGATCTAAAAGTGGCAAGTCTTGGGTCATGATGGCATCAGGCTGTTTTTGTCATTCTGTCCCCCTCTTGACTCCCCGTGGACACCACTGAATCCACGCTAAGTATTGTTAACCGTGTGTTTGGATCACAAGTTACTGCCCTTTCAGAACAGACTGAGATCCTGATTGTGCATAGTACACTCTAACACAGTGTCTCTCAACCATGGCAACTTTAAGATTTGTGGACTTCAACTCCCAGAATTCCCCCAGCCAACCATGCTGGCTGGGGAATTCTGGGAGTTGAAGTCCACATGCCTTAAAGTTGCCAAGGTTGAGAAACACTGCTAACAGAAACAACTGCATTAGCTGCAACATTCGAGGTTTTGCTCCAGGCATGCCAGTCTCTCTAAGCAACTAGCTTTCCTGACAAATTGCATCACCCCTTATAAAGACAATGGATAGTCAAGACTGCCTGGGGAGGTCCTGTGCCAGGTGCCGAGTCAGTGTTGTCTCGAGGTGACACAGGGCAGCCTCTTCTCTGTGGTCCCTGAGATCTGGAACGTTTCCCAGAAATTTGCCGGGAATCTACACGTTAAAAATCTGCCACTTCATACAGGCCTTCCTGTACTAATAGCTTTTGTTTCACTTTTGCTTTTCTTCTCCCGTTTTTGAACTACAAATTATGTTAGTATTGTTTTTAATGGACAGCTTCTTTCAATTGCTGATGGTCCGCCACTTCAGGATGGGGAGAGACGTACAAATATATTTTAGCAGCAGCTAATAACCAGCCTGAGCAGGAAACGAGGCGGGAGCCGACCCAGACCGCAGAAAGAACCGCTACCTATACAAACGTATTGGAAGCAAGTCTCGTGCAAACTCAATAGGCTTTCCTTAAGTAAGCATGCCAGGGCCGTAGAGCATTGCACAAACGCACGCTCGCTTGCTCGCTTGCTCTGTGGGCAGAAAGCCTAGCTGCGTCGGCTTCAGCTTTTCCTACGGAGCATGCTCGGCAGGTCCATATCCGTCCCCGCCTTTAGGGCTGCGGGGGGGGGCTTTTTATTTTTGCCCCCTTTGTT